AGCTGTCAGGTATGGTCTACTTTTACTTGGTCCTGCCTCAGGACAGGAGGTTGGACTTGATGACTTCTTGAGATCCCTTGCAGCCCTACATTTCTATGATTCTATGTGCATGATCTCTTTCCCCTCCCTAGCCCCTCCCAGCAGCCATTCCTCTAACCAACCTTCTGAACCCAGCTTGCAGGCGGTGGGGGAAGAAGGGAAGGATATTAAAATCTGTTTGTATTTTACCACTGACTTAATGTGAACAAAATCTAGCCCTTAGGGAGGAAACTTTCAATCTACTTGGGCAAACCAGAGTGCCAAACAGATTACAGTTTGTTGGTAGACAGTGGAATGATCACATTCAAGAAGTAACTTTAACAGATATACGTGATTTCCCAAAATGTAGGTCTTGGGGAAATGTGACGCCACCAAAACTAAGAAGATAGAAAAGTTTCTAATATCCAGGTTCCCATATTGGCTGCCATCACTATCTGACCACCTCATTTCTACTATATTTTGCATGCTGCATCTAATACAAAAACAGTAATGAGTAGGCAGGGGTTGAGAGATGGGAGAATTTCTCCAGAATGAAGGAAACAGAAATGTTTTTAAAATATAGATGATTTGTATTTAAACCTGAGATCAAGGTTCTGCAACATATTACACCTATGGAAATGTCCTACAGTATGTAATAGAAAATTATAACCATTCTATTTTTGAACCCCTCTTAGAGAATGTAATCAAAAATTAAACCCCAGTATAGAATTCTGTGATGGCTCAAAAAGAGAAAAGGGATAAATTCTCTGTAAAATTATATAGGTTTTAGTGCAGTTTCTATATACCCCCATTCAAGTTCTACAGAATGATACTGGCATAACCTCTCCTAAATTCTATAGGACTTTTCCACAGGCTAATAAATAAAAAGCATTCCTAAACAATGTACCTAAGTTCAAAACTGGAATTAGTCACTCATCATCCTAGCAGCCAGACATTTCCATAAGAAAGTGTCGCACAGCAGGCTAGAGCATGAATTTACAGCAAATTCATGATGCCACACAAACTTCCTGTGGAAACATGATCTGCACACTAAAAGTGGCTCAGGTAGTTTAGCTTAATACACTTGAAAGTGTCAGTTAAATTCACACCCTAGCTTGCTGGGCACAACCTTCCCCATGTAGACAAGTGCTTACTGTACCCTCTAATGGGTTTTGTTATGGTATTGTGCTGCATTGATTATGGCACAGTCAGCCTTCTATTCCTATGCAATTAAAACACGTGTTATCATTCTAATCAGCTGAGTCTATAAATATATTTAAAATATTATTTCAATTATGATTATTTACTGAAAAGTTACATTCAGAACTGCACTCCTTTGGATTGTAATTGAGCAGAAACCATCAGCAGTATAGGAGCATGTCCTCTGGAATGCTGGCTGAACCATGAAGGGGTATAAGAATGTTTAGCATATCTGGCACGTAAATACCTTGCAATGCTGGCTACAAAAGTGCCATACAAATGCTGGTTCTTGCTTTCTGGTGATGTAAATAAGAAAAGGGCAGCATTATCTCATGTGAATGTAAACAAACTTGTTTGTCTTAGTGATTGGCTGAAACAGTAGTAGGACTGAGTGGACTTGTAGGCTATAAAAATTTACATTGTTTTGTTTTTTAGTGCAGTTATGTAACAAAAACAAATCTACATTTGTAATTTTGTGACAAAGAGATTGCACTACAGTACTTGTATGAGGTGAACTAAAAATACTATTTATTTTGTTTATAATTTTTACAGTGCAAATATTTGTAATAAAAATAATTATATATACTTTTCATTTGTGTTGTAATTGAAATCAATACACAAGAAAATGTAGAAAAACATCCAAAATATTTAATAAATTTCAATTGGCATTCTATTGTTTAACAGTGTGATTAAAACTGTGATTAATCGCAATTAATATTTTAATCGCGATTAATTTTTGAGTTAATCGTGTGAGTTAACTGCAATTAATCAACAGTCCTAATAGTATCATAATGCATCCTAACTTTGAATATTTGACTTTGTGATCTTAATTTTTGTAATGTCATTTTTGTGAGTCAATTCAAAGTCAAACAGTCATATAGAACTCAGGAAATCCAATGAACCAGGCTCCATGTCAATCTCACTCCTAGCTTGCTTGTTAAGCTGCACTAAAGCTGACATCTTCTCCCCATTTTTAAGTTTCAGACCTCCATCTCTCATTGCACATGTTTTTTGCATAAAAAACAGAAAACGAACAAAGGGTAATTTCTGTCAAATCAAGCTAAATCTTAAATAAGCCCTTTTTGATAATGCAGGCGTATATACACTGGGGATAATAATGTAGTTGCTACATGAAGACTTTAAACAAAAAAAGAAGTCTGTTTGCTCAGGTTGAAGGAGCTGTAAATATGCATTTGAAATGTCAGATTGTTTACTACTCTGGGAAAGTAGCTGGGTTTTGAGTAGATGAAGTTGTGGGTATGTTACTCTGTGTATGTCCAGTGACCAGCTTTGTTCTCAGGTCCAGTTATTCTCCAAGGGTGCTATAGTTATATTCTTAGTTCCTAATTGTATCTACGTTTCCAACATTATACTGATAACAACCATGTACAGTGACAGGAATAAGCCCTAAGAAAACTATCAGATCAACAAAAATGTTTCAAATGTCCTGGACATGGTAGTGAAAAAAATGAAATTGTGAGAATCAAGTGAGAAGTGAAATCATTAAAGATGGCAGAAACCTGTTGTTTCATAGGTCTAACCCAAAGTGCTAAGACCAGTTTCTGCGGTTCAAATGGACAGCCATCTCTGAGGCTGGGAGTGAGCTAGCTGCTGCCAACTTAGGCAGCATCGGAACTAAGGTGCTGCTGCCATGATTCCCCCCGCCCCCCAGTTATGCTTTCATGTTGTTTTCATATCTAATTGCTGTCCCACTTGACCCCTCCCCCCCCCCCAAAAAAAACTCTCCAGGTTTTCAAGATTCAAAAGCAGGGGAGATCTCCCCCTCCTCTTCCTGGCTTAGAGGAGCAGTACTCCTCTGCAAAACCCTCTCCTTGACTGGTGTAGCAATAGCTACCCCTCCTGCTTCAATCTACTTTACCACAAACTTGCTCACAGTCAGAACAAAGATGCATTATGGCAGCCACATGAGTGCATTGTGGGATAAGTAGGCCAACTGGGGCCCAGTCTGTAGGGGAGAATGGAAGCATGAGACACCCAAACTAAAACAGCCTCTTACGTAGACGCAGTTTAAAGTTGAACTGACTGGAAAAAAGGTCATTCTGACATTTCTGAAAAACTTCATTTCAGAAATTTTCATTAAAAAAAAATGATGTTTTGACATTTTACTCTGAGTTGGGACAAAAACAAATGCTGACATATCATAATCTCCTCTAAGTCAGAAGTTCCAGTTTTTCACTCTGCTCCAGTCAGGGTCAATGTCCAAGGTGAAGGAATTCTGGAAAATGGTTGGGGGGAGCAGGGCAAGGTTTTAGGAAAAGTGTCCATCCCATCAGTCAGAATGGAGTTAAGGATTCTCTCTCTCCCCAAAAACATGCCTCAATTTGGATGTACCTCTTATGTTAATCTTTCTCCCACGATTTAAACCAGTCTCAATTTTGCGGGGGGGTCTCACTTTTAGAGCTCACTTTGCTGGCGATGTTGACGAAAGATGGTTGGAATATTTTTCAGTGATAGGGCTCAGTGGTGCTTTGGTAATACAAATAATGAATACATACTTACATACCTACATAGGAAAAAAGATGCATTTTTCCCTCTTCTTCCCTAATTCAAAGATGGCTGGAAGGAATTTTGCTGACACTTTGGCAAATAAAATAAATAAAAAGTATCAGCTCCAAAGATGAAAGTTTCACAGAGTTCTGAATGTTTGAAAACAGAAAGGTAGAGACTCAGAATACAAATATAAAGGAACCCATTTATGTTTATGTCTGCCTAATCTATTTCAGAAAGAACAAAGCCACAAAGTTCAGCTCTGGCTGTGAACATCTCGTAAATTTTGGGGGAAGGGAGTTGGCTAAGGCAACTGATAGAAAATATAATTACACGTTACTACACTCTTTCCTGTAAGTAAAGTTATCTCAACTCCCAAATAATCTGGGGATATTAGCTATGCCCTAGGTATTATTCATAACAGTTTATTCTCTTTCATTTCATTATTTTGGAGAAGGTAGCGGAAGCAGTGATGAGCTGTGAATAGCTCCCTTCAGATCTTATTCTAATGGCACTCTGTCATTGCTACTATTTGGAATGTCTTTCCTTAACTCAAATTTCCCTGATGTCAGCATAAGAAGAATATCCTGAAGAATATCCTGAAGAATATAAGAACATAAGAAGGGCCAGATTGGGTCAGACCAAAGGTCCATCCAGGCCAGTATCCTGTCTACTGACAGTGGCCAATGCCAGGTGCCCCAGAGAAATTGAACCTAACAAGTGATCTCTCTCCTGCCATCTATCTCCACCCTCTGACAAACAGAGGCTAGGACACCATTTCTTACCCATCCTGTCTAATAGCCATTAATGGACTTAACCTCCATGAATTTATCCAGTTCTCTTTTAAACCCTGTTATAGTCCTACCCTTCACAACCTCTTCAGGCAAGGAGTTCCACAGGTTGACGGTGCGCTGAGTGAAGAAGAATTTCCATTTATTTGTTTTAAATCTGCTACTTTAAAATCCTTTTTCCATTCAAATTCTAAGCTGCCATGCAAGTTTTGACATTACCAGACAAGGTTTTTTTCAGGCAAACAGAACAAGCATAAAGAAAGAAGACTGGATTTTGAATCAACTTGGATGCAGGATGGTGGTCTAGGGTGTTTGTGGGGCGGAGGGGGGGCACTGTATTACAATAATGGGATTCCTTAAAATTAGAGAGAATGTACCAATGTTAAGAAGCAGCTCAAGCCTTTGACTTTTGAACCTTTCTGTGCTGTTCTAATGGGCAGATTTTGCATTTAAGATATTATGCATGCTTCCATACCAAAGTAATCTGGCTGTAAGCCAACTTTATTTTTGTTGGGTTTTTTCGTTTTTTTTTTCTCTTCAGTTTTTTACAAGGATCATAAACATGGATTTTATTTTGCTTCGTTTACACAGAACAGATTTAGTTCCCATATAAAACTGTAAAATGGAAATACACACTTGTGATTGTTGTCATGTTGAAGCAGTTAGTCACAAGTCTCAGAAGACAAATTATTCCAGGAGTAGTTTCAGGAACAGCAGATACTGAAGACTGCCCATTGTAACTCATCTTTATTATGAAAAAGATTAAAACAACCCAAGTAAGCATCAGCAGAGATATGCTATCTTTTCATCTGTCCATCCAAGAACTGTTCCAAGGAAAAGAAAAAAGTAAGAGTGGAATGAACACTTTCACAAGGATGATCAGGTGCTCTGAAAAAAAATAAAAGAATTAGCTAACACATTTTATTGTCTGGTTTTAAATTCATTGTGAGTAAATGCAGACATTTGAAAAAAGAACTTTGTTTGAATGAGGAAGAAGGTTAGACCCTCTTCCCCGCTATGACTGAGAAAAATCAAAATGACAGTTGAATTACATGGGTGTAAAACTTAGTGATTGTGTCTTTGCCAGTGCTGAGAATAGAACCAAGGAGTTCCAGCTTCTCATCCTCTTTACTGACATTCTTTCTGACCTCAGTAAAAATTGCTGAATCCTCTCTGTGCATTGGCTTGCCCATCTGCATAAGGGATATAATGATATTCACCTGTTTTATTGGGGTGTTATGATATCTAACTGATTTTGTAAAGTAATATCTAAGTGGAAAGTATTATTAAGTCCAGGCAGTTGCAGGATCACAATCCTCAAAACTATCAGCGAGCATTATTGAGCATCCATGGCTTCGGAAACATGCACAGCTTTAAATCTACCGCTGGAATCATAGAATCATAGAATATCAGAGTTGGAAGGGACCTCTGGAGGTCATCTAGTCCAACCCCCTGCTCAAAGCAGGACCGATCCCCGACTAAATCATCCCAGCCAGGGCTTTGTCAAGCCTGAACTTAAAAACTTCTAAGGAAGGAGATTCCAAGGTAACGCATTCCAGTGTTTCACCACCCTCTTAGTGAAAAAGTTTTTCCTAATATCCAACCTAAATCTCCCCACTGCAACTTGAGACCATTACTCCTTGTTCTGTCATCTGCTATCACTGAGAATAGTCTAGATCCGTCCTCTTTGGATCCACCTTTCAGGTAGTTAAAAGCAGCTATCAAATCCCCCCTCATTCTTCTCTTCCGTAGACTAAACAATCTCAGTTCCCTCAGCCTCTCCTCATAAATCATGTGTTCCAGACCCCTAATCATTTTTGTTGCCCTTCGCTGGACTCTCTCCAATTTATCCACATCCTTCTTGTAGTATGGAGCCCCAAACTGGACACAGTACTCCAGATGAGGCCTCACCAATGTTGAATAGAGGGGAACGATCACGTCCCTCGATCTGCTGGCCCCTACTTATACATCCCAAAATGCCATTGGCCTTCTTGGCAACAAGGGCACACTGTTGACTCATATCCAGCTTCTCTTCCACTGTAACCCCTAAGTCCTTTTCTGCAGAACTGCTGCCGAGCCATTCGGTCCCTAGTCTGTAGCGGTGCATTGGATTCTTCGGTCCTAAGTACAGGACTCTGCACTTGTCCTTGTTGAACCTCATCAGATTTCTTTTGGCCCAATCCTCCAATTTGTCTAGGTCCCTCTGTATCCTATCCCTACCCTCCAGCGTATCTACCTCTCCTCCCAGTTTAGTGTCATCCGCAAACTTGCTGAGGGTGCAATCCACACCATCCTCCAGATCATTTATGAAGATATTGAACAAAACCAGCCCCAGGACCGACTCTTGGGGCACTCCGCTAGATACCATTTGCCAACTAGACATGGAGCCATTGATCACTACCCGTTGAGCCCGACAATCTAGGCAACTTTCTACCCGCCTTGTAGTGCATCCATCCAGCCCATACTTCTTTAACTTGCTGACAAGAATACTGTGGGGGACCGTGTCAAAAGCTTTGCTAAAGTAGAGGAATAACACGTCCACTGCTTTCCCTTCATCCACAGAACTAGTTATCTCATCATAGAAGGCAATTAGGTTAGTCAGGCATGACTTGCCCTTGGTGAATCCATGCTGACTGTTCCTGATCACTTTCCTCTCCTCTAAGTGCTTCAGAATTGATTCCTTGAGGACATGCTCCATGATTTTTCGGGGACTGAGGTGAGGCTGACCGGCCTGTAGTTCCTAGGATCCTCCTTCTTCCCGTTTTTAAAGATTGGCACTACATTAGCCTTTTTCCTGTCTTCCGGGACTTCCCCGGATCACCATGAGTTTTCAAAGATAATGGCCAATCGCTCTGCAATACATCCACCAATTCCTGTAGCACTCTCGGATGCAACGCATCCGACCCCATGGACTTGTGCACGTCCAGCTTTTCCAAATAGTCCCGAACCACTTCTTCCTTCACAGAGGGCTGGCCACCTCCTCCCCATGCTGTGCTGCCCAGTGCAGTAGTCTGGGAGCTGACCTTGTTCGTGAAGACAGAGGCAAAAAAAGCATTGAGTACATGAGCTTTTTCCACATCCTCTGTCACTAGGTTGCCTCCCTCATTCAGTAAGGGGCCCACACTTTCCTTGGCTTTCTTCTTGTTGCCAACGTACCTGAAGAAACCCTTCTTGTTACTCTTAACATCCTTCACTAGCTGCAACTCCAGGTGTGATTTAGCCTTCCTGATTTCATTCCTACATGCCCGAGCAATATTTATATACTCATCCCTGGTCATTTGTCCAATCTTCCACTTCTTGTAAGCCTCTTTTTTGTGTTTAAGATCAGCAAGGATTTCACTGTTAAGCCAAGCTGGTCACCTGCTATATTTACTATTCTTTCTACACATTGGGATGGTTTGTCCCGGTAACCACAAAAAGGATTCTTTAAAATAATCTCATATCAATTTCTTTAGTACCTGTGGTGATGTTAATTCACACTAACAAATATTTTGGAGTTAATCTTCAGCTTTGGCAGGCCCATCGACAGCAATTCCGGGCCCCAGGATAGAGCAGTCAATGGACCCCAAGGCCGCACGGACACAGGTGCTGCGCCTATGGTGGCTGGTGCCTAGTGAGCTGCTGCCATCTGTGCTCCTGGTGCCCAGCCAGCTGCCAGCTGCACTGCTGGGTGCACTTTTCTGGCATGGCCAGGTTTTCCACATGCCCACCTGGCTGCCTTTGCCACCACCGGTACCACCCTGCGCACACCTAGGAGCCCTGCCCTGTGGCCCGCCTGGCCTATTTAAAAGGGCCTGGGGCACCCAGCTGCTGCCTCTACTACAACGGCAGCGGCCAAGGCCCCGGGCCCTTTTAAATCACCTGGGGCCCTGGGCAATTGCCCCCTTTGCCCCTCTCCCCGTCGCCGGGCCTGAGCTTTGAAAGCAAAGTAAAACTACCTCTTTTTCACGTTCTGACCAACACATATTCCAGACAAAGGTAAAGCCTTCCCCTTTCTCCTTTGAAAGCACAGTGAAATCACTGTGCTGGCATACCCTTAGTGTTAGGGAGCCACCAGGTCATCCCACAGCAACACACGGACCTAGCAATGAACCAGTGTTTGAATTGTAGGTAGGGTGCTAGAGTAAACATTGGTATAATGTCCCCTAATTCGCCCTACAATCTCCACGTATTGATTTTGTTCCTTGCAGAGCTGTAACTAGGGTTGCCAACTTTCAAATTTCTCAAAACTGGACACTACAGCTATGGTCAAAATGTTCTGCACCAAATACTTACCCGCATATACACTATGAAACAGCCAGAACAAGCTCGCTAGCAGCAATGGAAATACTAACGAATGGGATGAATGCATGGGGCCTGGGGGAGAAGGGAAGCTGGCTTTGATTTGCCATTATTAGCATAGCAAACACTTCAGAGCAAACAAATCCTTCCATTTGTTGCAGCACTTGCGTTCCAAGGCAGAGCCCAGGCGCCTTGAGGGGGTTCCAGCCCTACATTCTTCACCATGCCCTGCCCTGATGTGCCACTTCGATAGAATGGCTTCAGATTGAAAGTGCAGGGGCTTCCTTTAGCAATCTCCCCCAAGCAAAGCAAAATAACTCTGAGCTTCCCAGCACACAAGGGTCTGGTACCTTTGCCCTTTACCTGAACCACCTCCCACCCAAAGCTCAACTCACCATAAAGAGAGGGGGGAGGCTCCATCCAGCAGCGGGTCTGAGGCAAAGAGTTTGCGTGGAGCAAAGGGGGAAGAAAGAAGGGTTGGAGCTTCCTGCAGCCGGGGGAGGTTCCCAGAGGTTGGTCTGTCCCGGCCCCGGGAGCAGCCTGTGCAACTCGGCTAGGAATAGCAGCCGGGGTGCCTCTAGCTCTGGGGCCAGCACTTGGGGGCTAAAGGGGCCTTGGGCTTGCTGGGGGAAGGGGGCACAAGATCGGAATTGTGGTAACTGGACTTTTGGTGACAGGTCAATACTTTTGACTGGAGACGATACAGTCCCCTTAAAACTGGACTTTCCAGTTGAAAACCTGACACCTGGCAACCCTACCTGTAACAGTTGAAGCAAGGTGGAAAAAAGACTGGAGCAGCAATGGAGGAAAAAAACCTTGGAATCTGACTAATTATGGCATAGAGAGCTTGCCTTTACCAATACTACAGCATATGAGTTGGAGCCTTGTTCTGCAAGATTGGTAAAGATGCATAGAGAGTACCTGTGCCCATGCTCAGATACATTGCTAGTGCTTAGAATAATAGAATCATAGAATATCAGGGTTGGAAGGGACCTCAGGAGGTCATCTAGTCCAACCCCCTGCTCAAAGCAGGACCGATCCCCGACTAAATCATCCCAGCCAGGGCTTTGTCAAACCTGACCTTAAAAACTTCTAGGGAAGAAGATTCCACCACCTCCCTAGGTAACGCATTCCAGTGTTTCACCACCCTCCTAGTGAAAAAGTTTTTCCTAATATCCAACCTAAATCTCCCCCACTGCAACTTGAGACCATTACTCCTTGTTCTGTCATCTGCTATCACTGAGAACAATCTATAGCCATCCTCTTTGGAACCCCCTTTCAGGTAGTTGAAAGCAGCTATCAAATCCCCCCTCATTCTTCTCTTCCGTAGACTAAACAATCCCAGTTCCCTCAGCCTCTCCTCATAAGTCATGTGTTCCAGTCCCCTAATCATTTTTGTTGCCCTCCGCTGGACTCTTTCCAATTTTTCCACATCCTTCTTGTAGTGTGGGACCCAAAACTGGACACAGTACTCCAGATGAGGCCTCACCAATGCTGAATAGAGGGGAATGATCACGTCCCTCGATCTGCTGGCAATGCTCCTACTTATGCAGCCCAAAATGCTGTTAGCCTTCTTGGCAACAAGGGTATACTGTTGACTCATATCC